TGAAGGAGAGGAGATGGCTAGGCCTCCCTCTCCAGGACCCTCCTCTTTGGCAATGCCTCAGGTGTCTTCCGACGGAGAAGAGATTGACCAGGAGCCAGGTGGTTCTGAGATTGGCCAGGAGCCCGGTGTTTCTCAGATTGGCCAGGAGCCAGGTGTGTCGGATAATGAGGAAGAAAAGTTGTGGCTGGATCCACGCCAGTGTAGGAGCGACAAGCGTGCGCAGCAGAAAAAGAGACGTGCCAGAGATTAAGCTGAATCTCTGGCAAAGTAGTGTGCTGTGGTTTTAAACTGTGTGTATTGTTTTTGTTTCTGTGTGTTTGGAGTAAAAGGTCTTGGCAGGCAGCTACGGAGCTGCTGCCAAGTTTCTTATCTGTGAAGTGGTGTCTGGAGAAGTCTTTAAACCCTCAGCTGGCTGTTTGGGTGTGTGGGTCGGAACGGGGACAGAACAAGTTCTTCCTTCTGATGGTGAAGGTACAAGAAGATAGGTTAAAGCCAAAACTAGATGCCAAGAAACTGGCCATTTTCTTTTTCTCTATGCGCTTAAAACAGAAAAGTGTGAATGTGACAAATATGCTTCAAAACATGATTTATATAAGTATTTGACTAAAGAAAGTGGACTGATTGCTATTGCCAGTTCAATATCTTCTCAGCAGTAATTCTGAATGCATTGACATGTAGTCTAATGCAGAGTTCCTCAATCTTTCCGGATTAGCAGCCCAGGGGGGGAGAGGGGAAAGAGGTGATGGTTGTGTAGGAGGGGCAGACATGTGTGTGTGCATGAGCACCTGTTGCTTTTGCGAGTGAGGCCACGAGCACCCACAACGCTCGCGCAAGTGGAGCCACGCGTGCCCACGAGTGGAGCCGCAAGCACCCGTGGCACTCACACAACTGGGGCTATGCGTGAGCACATACACGTTCACACCAGCCAGCCACTCACACGGCCCAGTTGTGAACAGACCATGGGGTGGTAGTGGGCCATGGCCCACAGGTTGGTGACTCCTGCTCTAATGTCTCAGCAAGTGACCATACATAGAAACACATGGCTGGCCAGGGAAGTGAAGTAAGATTGGATCTTTTTAATATTTGGATGACAGACCCTCAGGAAATCTCCAGCTATAAGCTAGACTAGGAAGCAAAAATAAAGAAATAAAAAAGAAGGCAGTAGCAGTGATTATTCAGGAAAAAATCATAAATAATCACCATGTCAAGCTCAATGTGAAGAAGACTTCACTTTTTGCTTACTTTTTGTAATCCTTCCAAGGAAGCTGTAGCATATCCTAAGAGATGCAAGTGTTGTTTCAGAGACATGCCTTGAACTCTGATGTGATCAGCATCAGTCTTGCTAAGTCATTTCTACCAGTAGCGATCAATTCTGATGCACTAATTCAACATTCTTCCACTGAGAATTTTCTCAGATTTTTATATCTAAAATCTCATTTTAGATATAAAAAGTATACATTCCTGCATACCATATTTCAATCCTGTTCTCAAAACAAACTTCATGACTTCCACAGGATTGAAATATGGTATGCAGAAAAAGCTGAGAGAAGAGATTGCGATAGATCTGGTTATGGTTTTGGCATACAACCCTGAAGAAATTTCAAGAGAGAAAAATTTATAGAGTTAATTTAGGGGTCGCACGTCAGAGAAATCTACCTAGAGATGTTGTTATTTATTTCTCAGAAGATTTTGTTATAATGTGTATGCAGCAAAAAGGATTTAATTTGCAATACATTTGTCTGTTTTAGAAGTTTTATATTTTTAAAACTTTTGATTTTAAATATTGATGGTTAATTTGCTGTATAAAAGAAAGAGAATATTTCATTATTTGAAAAAGTTTGCAAGGAATTTATATTATGTTAAAGGATTGATTTGATTAAGGGAGTTTGTTACAAGGAGCTTTATTTTGAATAGAGTTTATATAATGAGAATTTATAAAATTAGTTAAAGATTGTAAAATAATTGATTGGATATATGGGATATAATTTGTAATTTATTATGGGATTTGAATTTTAAAGAGACGAATGTGATGTTGATGTTATAATAGTGGTAAAATTATTGTTGTTTAAATTTTAGAAAAGATGGGTAGATTATATTTAGAGAAAGTTTGAAAGTGATAAATATTTTTTAGCTTATGAGTAAATTTTATAATGTTTATTATAATTAAGGATATTATTATGTTTAAGTTTTGAAGAAATGGTAAAGATTTCCGCATATTTGTAAGATTAATTTTAAGTGTGATTTGGGGAAGATGGATAGATTATTATTAGTTATATGCTTAGAGTTTTATTTGATTGTTTTTTAATGTTTAGAGTTAAAGGATGTTTATATTTGTTTGTCTTAAATTTGGGTATTTATATTTTGACTTGGGATGAGGTGTTTGTAACCCTATAATCAATTCTGGGAAGTCCGGGGGGGGGGGATTGGGAGTGGGTGGGTGGGTGGGTAGAAATAGATATAAAATAATTAGGTGTACTGATGCTAAACTTTTGAGACGCTCGGCCGGCACCCTAGGTGCAGACGAGCTGTTATTGATATTAATGTATGCCTGTATTTGTATATATATATATATATATATTTAAATTAATAAAAAAATTGTTTGAAAAAAAAAGTATACATTCCTAGTGGAACTTTCCTACTGAAGTCTTATGCTCACCCCTACAAGGATCCTCCTGAGGACACACCACAAGAGAGATGGAAGTTTACGGTGTAACTTCGTATGTAGCCCTACACTACCAAAATAAGGATGATTTAATAACACAATCAAGTTAATGCCTGTGACTATGAAGAACACAACTGTCAAAATCAACACAAGGTAAAGAGAAATTAAGGCAAATGCGCTTTTCTTATCTTAGCATTCAATTGCATATACTACAGCCTCACATTATATTAATAGTAATTAGTAATGGAAACGACTCACCAGAAAACATGTTTCTGGTGAAAAGAGTAAACATCTGAATCACACAACAATGGTAGAGCCAAGATGAGATGTAATAGTTCACCCATGAAGCCTGCAGAGATAATCTTTGAATTGAGCAGTGATCAGAACATATTCATGCTTTTTTTTTTTCCAATCAAAGACTTTAAAATTAGGATTACAATGAATCCCATCATGGCCAAGGATTTTAAGTATCCTTGAAAGCTTATTCATAATACTTTTTTTTTTTTTGCAAGCAAGAGATCTTGTCATTCCTGTTCAACTGTACTGTAATATTAAATCTTTCTGAAGGAAAGATAGTTGTAGGGTGCAATTCTTGTTTTGATGTACGGCAGAAATACACATGCAGATCAGCACAATCAAAGATGAAGACACACTCCTAAACTACAGTCCACTTCAGGTACTGTTTGATCTTCTGAGGTAAAAATGTTATTTCAGTCTAATATGGCACATATCTCATCTACACAATTACATCACAAACAAAAGATGGCCTTAGCATGGCATTGCAGCACACCATTCTTCTAACAATTGAGTTTTGCTCCAAGGAGGATGATGTACTTAATATTTTACTAAGTTAACAATGACATTGCCTTAATATACAATATATAATAAACTCTAAACACACCAAATAGGTATGATTTTTTTATAAATCCTTGATTAAATATACTTATCTACCAATGACACTTTATATGTATAGAGACTGGTAAAAATATATAGATATGTATCCAGACTTTTGTTTCGTACAGTTTAGAAACAATTCATCCATCTGCGAAGTAGAAGAAGCAGAGGATTACGAAATAGGTTCCACAAGGATAAAGTTCTCAGACACGGAACCAAGATGAGACTTCTTCCATGTTCAGGAACCAAACAGCTCTCAAAATCCAGATTGTGAAAATCAGATGTCTCCAAAAAATATACCAAGAAATGGTATTTAGCTTCTTGTCTCTATAACTATTTCTTTTCTTTCTTCCCCCCCCCCCCCACAGTGAATTATTTTATAATCTCCGTGATGAGCTCTGGCAAGGTTTGTGGCAATCTTCTAAACCAGCAAATCTGAGTTACGATGTCTATGGATCTTATCTTGCTAAATGGAAACTGCGAGAAACGAATAAAGCAGTATGGCAGCTGAGATATGGCTTTGTATAAAAAGGATGACATCTATCTAGGGTCTGATTTTCTGTTTTTTGTCTGAGTTCATTCCGTTCTTTTATAGTGCCTTCATCAGACACATTAATGGCCACTTTATTTTCTTTTTTCCCGTAGTATAATTCCTATCGTTACTTACAAATGCACAGAGAAGGAAAAGACTATTTACAAACAGGTTGGCACTTAAGAGAATATATTATTGATATTTTCTCCTGTTTATTTTTTCCCCCACCCTGTTTTCCAGTTGAGTGGTAGCTAGGATGCCTGGCAAAACCTGCTGCCTCATTAGAATATGCTACGTTAACATGAAAAATAGGATTCCAACTTGTACATTCTTTCTCGATGGATGGCTCTGAAAAGCAATAGCTTCCACCCTAATTCATATTTGATGCTCAGACTGCTAGTCAAGTGAAAGCAATGGCTGCATGTTTTCTTCTTCATTTTTATCCATGCGCTTGAGCACTCCGGGGTCCACAACAGATTGAGACCTAGAAAAATATTAAGCAACGACCAATTGTGACTCATTTTAGCAACAACAAAAAGGCAAGCTCCTTCGCATTATAAAAAAGCAAATCAACAACCATAAAATATGCTTGGGGAACAGGATGGATGATGCAAGGCCCCTCCTGAAAAGAAATCAACCATGTTTCCTAAAGCAGCAATGGAAAAAGTGATTTAAAGGTCAGATTTGGCCAGCAGGCCTCTCCTTTCAGTCTATTGTGGCTTTTGCTGACATGCATTCTCCACCTAAATGCCAACCTTCTTTTTTTAAAAGCTGGTTCACTTTGAGGCTGCCACTTCCAGATGGGTGGGAGTGATTTTCTTCCCAGTTACCTCCCTCACGCCTTGCCTTTGCCATTAGGGGAGGTAAAGGCTGAATGAAGTTTGATTCCATGTTGCTAGGGAGCATTTTGCTGCCTCTTATTTTATATGGGTCCCGCTCTTCATTCCCGGGAGCCCTTCACTCAAACATCTTCACTATAGCTAGAAAGATAAGCTGATCAACTGGAAAAAAGTGCATCTGAAAGTTTACAGCTGAAAGTCTTCAGAGGAATGGGCAAAGGTTGGTTAGGGAGCAGCCTTTTATACCATCCTTCTGAAAGAGGGCTTTGGGGGATGGGGAGGGGTTCCATCAAAAGTTGATGGGCAATTGACAGCTTGCACAGGATAATGTTCCTGTGAGGGAAAGGCCCCAGCTTATTGCACATGAAACTGCCCATGAATATTGTACGTGAAAAGGACGGCAAAGGCTCTGTTACAAAATAAGGTCTAAAAGAGGGCGTTGCAGCATTTGCCTGAAGCGATGTGGGCAGTTCAAGTAGAATTAGGCATGGGTGCTATCCTCCAGCAAAGTTCAGCTCAGCCAACTTGGAATATTGCACAGCTTAGCAGCTCAGCAACAAACTGCAACCACTGTGGAACCATAACGCTCTTCTATATGCAGATCCCAGCACAGAAGTGCAGATCTATATGCAATTCCTTCCCCAGTAATACTATCTAACTTGGTATTGAAAGAATTGTGCAGCATCTGGATAAACAGTATGGGAGATACAAGTTGGTATGATGAATGCATGCTAACTATACCCTTGTGCATGCTAAGCACAGGCTTTACTTGCTTTGTGCTAGGGTCATGTTCCTGCAAAACCTGCCTAAAGTAAATTCACCCACTGTAAAGTGAGGAAAATCTGCATATGTGTGAGAAAACTTGCCTATTTACAAGGCTTTCAAGCTAACACTCAGCTTCAAAGCTGACCTTTAAAATCAACTGATTTCCCACTCCAACTCACCCTTAAATGGTTCCCTATATCAGTTTTATTTTCATTGCTTAAATAAATGATAATGGCGTTCTAACAATGGGAACCAGTTAGCAGATGTTCTGGCCTCCATGTTCAGAAGCTAGAGATCATGAAGTGAGAAATGAGTGACAGCTATCAGCAAATGCAGAGGGAATACTAATCCACAATGAGGGGGTGGGAAAAGGGAAAGGATAAGCAACAAGGACAGCTGAGAGGGCTCAGTCCAAGGCCCTGGAGAGCACATGCTTCGCTACATTTACCAGGATGGGCATTCTTTAGTTCCTAGGGAAAACAGTCAGTGTGGCTTGCATAGGTACAGCAAGTTTCTCAGGTCTGATAAATTTGCAAATGTGGTTTCTCTCCCTCTCTCTCTCTCTCTCTCTTTTTTTTTTTCTGGTGGAAGTGTCTGAAGAATGAAAAGTTGGTCTCCTCTCTGATTATGCACAAGCATAATGACGCATAGATGCCTTGTAAGTAGTACATCTCTATGTCCAGAGAGGGAGCATCTTCATCCATAATACTGCTTTATTTCCTCCTCTAGGCTCTGTTTCTCCTCCTATGTAGAGAAAGGGAGTTTTCTGCTTACAAATGGGAGCTGAAAGCAACTCTTCTGATCTGAACAAGATTGGAAGCAAATCTTTAATCCTCTATATCAGTGATGGCGAACCTATGGCACGCATGCCAGAGGCGGCACTCAGAGCCCTCTCTGTGGGCATGCGTGCCGTCATCCCAGCCCCGCCTCCCCCCATGGCCCCCTCCTCAACAGCAGCCCCCCTAGAGGAGAGTTGCCCCTAGGCACGTCCCGCACGTAGCAGCACAGCCAAGGACATGACAGCCGGGCAGCAGGGACAAGACTCTGCCCTCATACCCCATTGTGTGCAGATGATGCTGCGGGGCGTGGGTGGAGGGCATGGTCCGGGCCGCCTGGAAGATCTGTGGTGGGCCATGGAGGTGGTGGGTGGCCCTGTGGGGGTGCAGGGTGGGGGGGCGGAGCAGGTGGGGCAGGGGCAGGTAGAGTGGTTTTGGGGCACTCGGTCTCTAAAAGGTTTGCCATCACTGCTCTATATAGAGAAGGACTGGGAGGAGAATTGAGCTGCCTTCCAAGCACAGGAAAGAACACCAGAGGAGGGTGTTCAAAAAGGAGAGAAGGAGTTCCAGATTGCCATGTGAGCAATCTGATCCAAAGATTTACTTAGTTTCCCATTCCTATTTTTTTTTTTAATTAGGGTCCCATAATGTAAGAGAAAAGCATAGACAGTCATCTGTCAAAAAATGGTACAGGGTCTCTTGCTTAAGCAGGGGGGTTGGACTAGATGACCTATGAGGTCCCTTCCAATTCTGTTATTCGATTGTCTATTTGACCTGGGAGATCACCTAGGCATCTCCTGCTTCAGAAGGCATCATGAACTCACCTCTTCATGGATTTGGGTGAGAGCTCCTTTTCAACTTCTTTTGCAGATGTGTTATAGGACTCCACACTATATTCACTGTCATCATCGTACTCGTGATCTAGCAGTGTTCTTGCCCATGTGCCCATGTCATAAGGTGGAAGCATTCCTCCAAATTCAGAAGGAAGAATTTCAGGATGAATCAACTGGTGCAGACTGTTGAGGTTGTTTCCATGGAGAAATATCTAGGGAAAAGAGGAATATAATACACTGTAAAGTTATCAGAATCTACAATAATAAATGTAGCTATCTGAAAAGCTGGACAGCTCAAAGACGTAGTTTTTACCACAGAAGATTTCCCAAACCTTTCAGAAGATTAAAAAAAATGCAATTGGTTACCTAAAGAGGCTGCTGAAAGATTAGTCATATTCTCATATTTCTACTTCCAAATAACATTTGGAATCCAACGAAAATGAATCCTCTTCTATAATCCAAATAGCTCTAAGCATGTCCTTCTCAATTGCACAAGGCAAATTATGGGGAACGTTCAAGCTATTTTGGGCTATGACATGTCAGGGTGCCTTTTTTAAAGTAATTTTTAATGGATCCTTAAGGTCTTCAGCTCCGTTCAGGAATTACTAACATATTTGTAAAGAGGCTTATGCACCCATTGATTTAGAAGAGTTAGGATCACCCAAGTTCACAATACAGTGAAAAGAAGGGAAGAACGATGAAAATATATAACATTGGCACAACACAAGCTCCACCCCAAGGGTAGTACATCATGAAATTACATGCATATCTAAGAGGAGCAGAGCTTAAGACCCAATGGTGTAATGCATCTCTCCCCATTTTGATCTGAAGCCTTCAGATGCCCATGATCCACTGAATAACAAAAAGTCCAAAAAGATGACTATTTATTAATTTATTAATTACCCAAAGGTTTTGACTAGGTAGACCACAACAAATTGCGGTTAGCCTTTAAAAACGTGAGTACACCCAGGCTTTTGCCTCTGCCTTTTGAAGAATGTACATGATAATCAAGAAGTAACAATTGGAAGGGAATACTAAGCAACAATTTAAAAAGGAGATCAATAGAAGACAAGGTGACTGGATAATATCACTGATGATAGAAGCAACAGCTTACAAGAATTCAAAGAGGTTACTGACAGACAATTCTGTTAGAATGGTACCCGCTAGGTCACAAAGAGAAGCAACTGGAAAACTGAAGAACTTAACTACCTTTAGCTTCTATAGAATTTGGTATTATGCTTCCAAAGAGCAAGCTTATTAAATTCTCTATTTCAAGATGCTTTTGAAACTTGGCTGCAGCTTTAAAAAAAAGGACACCTTGGGACCTTAGTGAGAGGTATGGTTTTCGGGTGAATGTATGCATGTCATTCTGTGTATGGGTTTAATGGTGTTTTCACCTTGTGTACTTCCAATTTGAAGTAGAATAATGATTTTTTTTTTTACTATTTTTACATGCTGCATTGATAAGCATCAGACGAGAAATACAGAAACAAAGTGAACCCTAGAGTTCAACCAACACATAGCTTAATTCTCCCATTTCAGAACAGTGATTTTAAGATGCAACAAGTCTGCTTAGGCAGCTGTGCAAATAACTATTCAGCTTTTAGTAAATGGGACTGACTTGGGCCGTTCAAGAAACAATGAGTCGAAAATCCATTTTATCCTTTGCTGTATTCTAAAATGTGTTAGTATTTGTATGTACAATGAGAGCTTATGCATCAGAGACAAATTCCTTGTGTATCCAGTCACACTTGGCCAATAAAGAATATTCTAAATCTAATTGTATTAATATTTTATCTGCCATATGTATATAATTAAGGTCACAAAACAAGACACTGGAAACATGTATTTGTTCTTTAGTTTTCAAGGCTATGGGTCCTTTTATAAAGTTATGGAAATATGATGGAAACAAAGATGAATAAAATTACCCTCTTCCTTGTCTTCTCCTTTAAAAACGGACGTATAACTGTATAAAGGGCATGAATGTACCATGGCTGATTGACAAAATGAATTCCTCCAAATCGCGCTGGGAAACTGTCCTAGAAGAGAACATCAAATAAAAATGAGATATTTTACTTTATTAGCAACTTTCTCTGTATCTTTAGCATACTGTGAAAACAGGTAGTCCTCGACTTATGACCACAATTAAGCACAACATTTCTGTTGCTAAGCAAGACAGTTGTTAAATGAGTTTTGCCCCATTTTATGACCTTTCTTACCACAGTTGTTAAGTGAATCACTGAAATTGACAGCTTCTTCATTGAAGTTACTTGTCAAAAGATTAGAAAAGGGGATCACATGACCCCGGGACACTGCAAAATGAGTCGGTTGCCAAGTGTCTGAATTTTGATCACATGATCATGGAGATGCTGCAACATTTGCATGAAAAAATGGTCATAAGTCACTTTTTTAGTGTTGTTGTAACTTTGAACGGTCAGTAAATGAACTGTTGTAAGTTAGATAAGATAAGATAACCTTTATTGTCATTTTTATACTGTGGGCACAATGGCACACATCAAAGTAAAACACATACATGACACACACCTAAACATACTATGAACAACATATGTATAGATCCACATCCCTACATATACGTAGCAAATAAATATTAAATATTGTCCATCTTGAATATGTAACGGAAGGAGGAAGCTTGAGAGTTTGCAAGGTTAATGCTGTATGGAATGAAACTATGGCTGAATCTGGATGTTCTGTTTCGGATACCACGAAGCCTCCTCCCAGAAGGTAACAAGGAAAACAGGTCATGAAGAGGATGTGTAGTGTCCCAGATAATCTTACGGACCCTGCTCAAGCAGCGCTTCTGTGCTATGTCCTGGATGGGAGGAAGGGAACTGCCAATGATCTTTTCGGCCATTCTCACCACTCTCTGCACTTAAGCAAATTCATCCTCACAATAAACGTGCAGCCAGGTTTCACTATAAAGATTAAGATACACACCATTACAAATAAGCTGTTTGTTTAAGATCCTGTCTTCAGGCTAGAGATTTTCTTATGCAAGCTTATTAAACAAAAGTTGTCTTCCCCTCCAGGACAGTAATTCTGTATCCAGTTATAAATCTGGGACAAGAATTCTAATAAAGAGAGAGGATGATTTCTACCAAGCAGCAATGCACATATTTTCAGCCTATATTATTTGCCGCCATATAATCTTTCCATTTTACGTACACAAATTTACATGCGTTTATTTTTATTTGAAACTATGATTATGTTTTTACATACAGTACATTCTTAAGCATCTTAGGAATAATTGATTAAAAATTGGAGGTGGGAAGGAGAGGATTTAAACGTTTTAATAAATTAAAACAGCAGCTTGATTATTCCATGTTAAATTATTTATGCGTATAACTGTTGGGTTTCAGTTGAATAACCAAAGTGTGAACACTGCATGCTTATTTGCTATTATGTCTCTAGCTCTTAGTTGAACACTTCCAGTGAGGTTTTAGCATAGTGTGTTCCATTGTTCAACGGCTCCGAGTGTCAAGAAATTAATCTAAATATTTGGCCTGAATTTCCTTCATTTTCATTTCAACCCTCCAATCTTTTTCTGCTCTAAATTTCAACTAAGAATAGAGCTGTCCTTTATTGTAAGTAGAACCTTTTCAATTGTTGAAAATTGCCACTGTATCTTACCACAGTCTTCTGTTTTGTAAGTTAAAAATTAAAGCTTTTTAAAACCCTCAATAATCAGCTTGATAGCCAGCCCCCCATCTGGAGGTATCTTTTCCATTCCACTACAAGTTCTTCATCTCTCTTTTAAATAAATATCCTACCAAGAACTGGACATAGTACTCCAAATACAGATGAATCAGTAAAGATTGCATAGTCCTAGAATCAATAGGTCCCAAGATTCAGAGCCACTCAGTCTTTCCAGGATTCAGCTGAAACCTGTTGTTCTGCATCCAGATTCTCACAGCCTCCATACACTGAATAAAATGTTCATGGCCTTGCTTAACTCACCAAAGGCTGAGATAGATAGTTGGATATCATTAGCATACTGATGGTAACTCACCCCATGGCAATGGATGAACTAACACACCGGCCTGATGTAGATGTTGAAACAAAGAGAGAGCACTCATCCCTGAGGCCTACTCTCCTTTCTAATATATAATCAGGTCTAATATTAGATTACCAGTTTGCATCACAGAAATTTCTCCCCATTTCAGTGAGTTCCATCAATATTCTTGAATCAGATATGCTGGTAAGTTGTCCATTTCTTCAAAACTCTTAAAAGTGCTGACCTAAACTCTCAGAATATCTAGCAGCATAGCTAGATATCCTGAGGTATAAAGAAACTAGACTTAACATTCATTACATTTTACAGCCAATTATTTTGCCCCGGGGATCCTTAGTTTTCTTTACATTGTCAATCTAAAATTGTTAAATCAACTTATTGAAAAAAATCTTTTCCAATTCTCTGAATTGCATTGGTATTTTCCATCTTGAGCTAAAATATAGCCCTTGACAGTCTTCCTGAATGATGATCATGTATGTATGTATATGTATATATAGTATAATTATAAGACAGAAGTGTCCTGGGTGATCTCCAAGTTTATTCCAATTCTTACATTCCACAAAATTGTTATATGTGACATTTTGCAACATTCCAGGGAATGTCTCCCCTTTTCATTTTAGCAGAAGCTAAGATAGATTAAGAATGACCTTTCTGATGTTTCTGAATTTACTATTTTTTTTTTTAAAAAAGCTATAGAATAGCTGTAGGATGTATGCTCAGCAAAAACAGAAAAAGCCACCCAATAAGAATATAAAAGAACAAGTTTAGCAAGAAAGTAGTCTGGCAACAGCGATTTATTTTCATCTCTATCTTTTTCTCCCTAATGCTAGATGAAATCTGGAGCCCATAGGCCTTTTTATGCAAGTCTAATGGCTAGCTCATCTGCTTCCACTCCATGTTACCATTTGAAACTGTTGATTGATGGGGCTATAGGTAATCCCCAGCTTACAATCATCTGTTTAACAACCTTTCAAAGTTACAATGGCACCGGAAAAAAGTGACTTAGGACTGGTTCCTCACACTTAATGACCATTGTGGCATCCTTAGTCACATGACCAAAATTTAGGTAATTGGTAAACAGCACATATTTGTAATGATCGCAGTGTTCCAGGTTACTTGATTGCCATTTCCAGCCTTTCCAGATTGATTCCGACAAGCAAAGTCAATGGGGGAAGTCGGATTCGCTTAAGGGCCATGGCAAAAAAAGTAACTGCAGTTACTTAACAACTGTAGTGATTTGCTTAACAACTGTGGCAAAAAAGGCTGTAAAATCAGGTAGGACTCACTTAACAATCACCTAGCTTAGCAATAGAAATCCTGACTATCCAGTTTTGGTTCTAAGAATACTGATGCTTAGCTGAATCGACATGCACAATTCAGAAAACTGGTAGAAATTTAGTTTCATTTCTCAGAAGATAAACATCCATTTCCATGTAGCTGTAAAGTAACAAACACAGGGTTAGACACTGAGCATCATGTAGTTTTCTATATATGCCTTCTATTCACTAAAGTATAATGCTTCCTATTAGCATTAATGAGATGAGAGGTTTTTATCTCCCCCTTGCTGCCTTGATAGCTACTCACCTGGAGAACAAAGCAGTTTGATGGCAGAATATTGCTATTTTATAGTAGTGGCTTTAACGTGGATATAGACGAGTTTTCTGTTGGTGTCTACTTATACACACTTACAGAGGTGGGCAAAGCATGCTATCAAACTTCTTTGTTGAAAATTGAGTTGATGTGCTATTGTGTTGGGGTGAGCAATAATGTCTAGCTGTCCTTCTTGTAACTGCTCTGAATTACAGTGTAGTCTTTTGTAATTTATTAATACATCTAATTTAACACCCAGCAAGGAAGCAATATTAAAATACATTTTTCAGAAATCTATTAAAGGTCAGTATTATGGATACAATAAGAGCAAGGGTAGCTGGCAAATATTATCATTTTGAAGCCAAAAATATCATTTTCAAGCTTTTAGGATTATCAGCCTCACAGAGGTATCAATTGCAAGCCACAATGCTATCAAGCATGTTGTGACATCATTGTGGAAATGTGATGAATTACATCATTTAGTTAGTTATGTCACATACAAAACTATGCAAGGCCATTATTTTCACATGCAATGTTATTTATGCTATAATAAATTGTGTGCTTGTTATCAGCCCGTTATTTCACAATTTAAATTTACCCTATAGTTTGATGACATATTACTCATCAAACCAAATCAATAAATTCCACATCCTTAAAAGAAATCTAGGAATGTATAAACTAAAAATACTGGATGAAACCCAACATCATATGAACGATAGCCTATCTTCCATAGCTTCTGTCCCACCATCTGTTCTAAAGAACTTTTCAATCTTGGCACCCTCTTCCCATTTAAATGAGGACATTGATTCCCTTAGCAGGAGGACTTAACTGGATAGCACCCATATCTGAGGTCATTAGGTCTGTTACCAGTTCAAGACTGCCTCCAGCAAACAGCTGTTGTACATTTTATTAGCTTTGGAACAAAAGAAATGTTTAATACATTTAATTACCTATGAAACAGAAGCTTGGAAAGCAGCATGAGATTGTGACAGTGACAAGCCTATAAGAAATGGGCATTTTTGAGAGTCTCATTCATTTCCTAAAATCGTGTGTGTGTGTGTTACAATAGTAAAATCTAATGCAAAAAAAAGAATGAAAAGAATAGAAAGTGAAAAGTGCAAACGAGAAGATAAAGACAGAAAGTAGGAAGAAAAATAAGAATATAATAAAAAGAAATGTATATAGTGACTTCCAATCGTTATCACATGTATAAAAAATTTAGTAACTCTTCACCTCTCTAGTTACAAATATTTATCCCTTCATCCCGTATCTCATCTCTTATTTATAAACAAATCCATAAAGCATAATCTTTTCTGTCCTCAAGACAGCAAAAGGAGCATTAGTAAAAGGAATAACATATCTTATTTTAATCTTTAACCCAGTTGGTTTATTGGAAAATCAAGTTTTCTAAATAAATTA